TCTTTGATTCTCTAATTTTGATGAAAATTTTTGGTAAAAAGTGATTTTCGAGATTTGTTCATTTTCTAATGATACATTTTGTATCTTCAGTTCTTTAATTGAAATGTGCATTGCTAACAGCGGAGCTATCTCAGCCGTGAGGCTGCTTGTTTTCTCTGTTAGAAACCCATCTCCAATAAAAGCCCATGTAAGCCATCAGTAAGGCATGTTTATACTTGCATTGTATAAATCCATTTAATTTGAAATCAGCCTAAATGGAATGATTGGATTGGCTGGCACGCTTCTCTCTCCATTCAGTGAAGTGATTGTGCATGCATAAATTAAAACAGTATATACATGTAGCAATGCTCGCAGTCATACAATATGTAATAGTTTATGAATAGTTTATAATGTACCCGCCTTACCTAATGGCAGTATATACTGAATTATTAACAATCCAGTATATTGACAAGGTAATACATGGCCGAGATATGGGTCCCATGTTAACAAAGATGGCGACTTTGATTGTTGCGCTGATTATCTCGGTAATTCTTGAAATATATAGAAGATCTTAAAGTTGGTATTCTGTGCACATTGCGACTATATCAAACCTCACATTCATGCTCTCCACGTAAAGAGTTCTATTGGTTATGGGAATGTACTGTTTCTCAACACAAATCTTACATGTGTGGCACGACACCCGCTGCCCTTCGTGGTATGACCGTAGACACACCACTGTTATGTACAGAAGCGCTCACGCTACTAATAACAAATAAGATCTTACATGTAGTATGACAAATCAAGAGAATATAGCTACATTGTCTTCTACAAATACATGTAGAATAATTTGTCTGATTGTCACACTTAGAGAGCTATGCGATTTGAACTCATTTGTGAAAATAAATTCATGAGATTGTCTATCTCTTAGGCTGAAAACCTCATTGTAGTTTATTTATTAGTTTAATTCCCAGTACTTGCATGTATTATTGCAGACACAACATGTGGTGAATAAATAATGTACAAAACAATTACTTTTCCAGACATGACCACATAGTCAAATTAGTTTTATATATAATATGTAAGATGGATTACCTCAATATGAGAAATTTGATCTACGAGTACAATTAATAATGAAATACTATATAGTGATTCAAATTACAGATCCTACTTGTATGCTAATAGAGGTATTTCTCCTGTGTCATTTTGAAAGGTATTTCTCAGATATAATTGTAGTGGTTATTATACAGGCTCACATGTAGTGGTATTATTTGTAGTTTTATCCTGTAGGCTTTGTGATGTTATTTAAAAGAAATTATGGTACAGTCCAGATATAACTCAACTAAGCTCAGAGCTGGCCTTCCCTTTTCATTAAAACTTATAATTTTTTACTTCCTCGTGTGAAGCGGTTATCATGTCTGTATATTTGTAGGTTCACATGAATGTCATTACCACAAGTACATGTATCTCAAGAACCTCAGATTTTGATTACTTCTTGGTTGACACCATGCATATTAATGAACTCATTTGCATAACAATGAGCCAATTTTCAGCTGTTTCACTGTTTTCTCAAGACAGCTTTTTCAATGAAACTTGATTATATAGATGCACTTGGGTAATGCACAGACCTGATTATAGTCGAAGTCTTTGCATACTAGTTTGTTACATTAAATGATAAATAGTCAGTAATTACTTTAGTTATTCCAGTAATATGTTTAGACTTGTTACACAGTAAAATATAGAAAAAAAGATATATTTAGCTGGATATTATTTTTTATTGAATCATTCCTTCAGTGAAAATAACGATTAATTAATGAAAATAAAGTATTTTACAGAATTCATAATAATGATGCAGATACGACCCTATAAAATTAAATCATACAGTAATTTGTGAAAATACCTTGACTATTGTATAATAATAATGTTTTTTTTATAGGATGTACAAGTGAACAGTTTACATGTGCCAATGGTCAATGTATACCCAAAATATGGAAGTGCGATGGTGACGCAGACTGTAGAGATGGGAGTGATGAAATATCCTGTCGTAAGTATTGGACCTTGTTCTAATCATTAAAAGTCTGCGCCAAGAATCCCAATAGACCATTTTCCGTTCACTGCGAGAATCACGCGTTATGCGTGAAATCGAACGTAAAAACAGGACAAACAAAGATCATAGCGTCGTAGTGGCGTCAAACATCGCGTGGGATTCGACAAACGCGAAAGTATTTTGGGGGACATTTCCATGCTTAATAATGTGCTGTCCACATTTGATGATAGGCAATTTCGATTAAATAAGGGTATTCGGAAGCAATATTCCTCTG